TGATTCCATTCTTAGCTGTAGATTGCTTTTCAGTGCCCAGCCTGCAAAATCAGCATGAGAGCTCCCTAAAATGTAACTGTCTGCCTTCACCAGCTCCCCAGTCCTCACCAGCATCTCCCATTATAATTACACGGCAGAAACTATATCCCTAATTCACTAAAAGAAATAACTTTTCATGGGAGTGTAACATAAAGGCAACAGGCAGAACAGCCATAACTTATTAAATTTTCATTAGGCACCAAGACACCAAATTAGCATCTGCTAATTTGCATGATGACATGATGTATGTTTCTTCTTTTGTTTCTATTCTGAGCCAACATGACAACTTAAGCTCTTTTTTCCTGGAAACAGACAAGCCTTGCATTAGATGCTTTCCATGGTTGTATACTAAACATTTTGTTTTTACTTTTCCATTTCTAGCTGTTGCCCTTGATAATCTCTTTCTTTTTACATTTTTTAATTAGTATGTTTTCACAGCTATTTCATCTGCTGATATCCTCTGTTACATCCTCATCTCCTCTTACTCTTGCATAACAGACTGTGGGATGTTCTTATCACCTCGAGTCCTATATAATTGTCTTTTCTCCCAATTATTTGCTTTACTTGGTAACTGCTCCTAAATATCAAAGACCAGTAAAAAACAAAAAACTAAACAAAATCACAGCATGAGATTTCACAGAATTTTCTCCCCTGTTTTTAGAAGTTTGTACAAATACAGGTGCCAGAGGGACAGTGGTGGAAGGGGCTTCCGGAATAGAGCTGATCACTAAGCTTGGAGCGGCTACAGGGTCAGGAGCAGCTGCTGGACTTAGCATCAGCGCTGCAGGACAGCCTGGCGTGGTGAAAGCAAGGCACTCCACTGGAGGAACACATAAGGACAACAGCGAAGGGGCAATAAGCATGAATTTCCTGGACTCCTACTTCTCTCAGGTAATTTGGTAGAAAATGCCCTGCCTTTGTTAGCCTACTGACATTGGAGGTCTTTTGACATGACTATACTTCAGTTTTGCAGTTCTTTTTTATAGCTTGTTAGAATCTAAGAAAAAAAATAAAGGTTCTTTGCCAAAATAACACAGATAACCTAAGGTGGCTGCCCAAATTGGGCCACTGGTCCAAAGGAAGAATGAGTAGACAGACACAAAGAGAGAATATATCAAGTGGCCCCTCATCCCTCCAGCTGGAAAGCAAAGGAGAACAAATCTTTGCACTTCAGGAACAGCAGAATCTTCAGTAGGAATACAAAGCAGCTTTTTTTGTATGTCCCTTACCATAAAGGACATCAGAAGACATGCACATCTTTTTCTGAGAACAGGTGTTCTTACTCAAAGCAGAGTGTCCTGTCCAAAAATGCTGAAGAACCATTGAATTAACAACCCAAAATAACAGCCATTGAATTAACAACCCAAAATAACAGGGGAGAAGGAGGGCTGGGATGGAAGGGCAGGTGAGCTGGGAGCATAGTACTGAGAAGGGACGAGGCTGCAGGTGGAGGACTTTGGGAGGTGGGTTTCTTGCCTCTTGGTTGGGGCCTCGTGAGAACAGAGTTTTGTTACCAGAATCGGTCAGTATAGGATCTGGCCTAGCGCCCAGGCAAATGAAGACCAATGCTGTTTCTGAGGAGTGATTGGCAGGGAGGGCTTGACTGGGGCGAAGATTCCTGGGATGTCGGGAAGTGTGGTGTGGATCCAGTTTCAGAGTCAAGGCAAAGGCCTTGTCCAGGTGAGGCTCTCAGACAGAGGGATGGCTACCCCACCCCTGCACACAGACACACGCGTTTACACCAGCATCCTCAGGGACCCTCACGCTTGGCCCACGTATCGTATGTGTCTGCCTGGTAGTCCTAAATCCATGTAAGTGCCTTCAAACTCAAGTATTAAGGCATGAACCTAGGCCAGCCTCAACTTTGAAGGGATGTCAACTACACTATTCGCTGAAAACCAGGTAATTTCTATAACATGGCTGTGGATATAAAGAGTATGCCTTTACATCTATGGGGTCCCTGAATTAGGCTTGTGGTCAAACCTTGAGTTCTACGGACAGCATTTCGTTCTTTAATTGAGTCTCTTCTAAAATCATTGTTTCCCCTTCCCTCCGCCTTTAGAAAGCATTTGCCTGTGCGGAGGAAGACGACGGCCGGGGGGCCAGTGACTGCTTGCTGATCTATGACAACGAGGGGGCGGGCGCCCCCAGTTCTCCCATTGGCTCCCTGGGCTGCTGCAGTTTTATTGCCGACGAGATGGATGACAGTTTCTTGGACTCACTTGGCCCCAAATTTAAAAAGCTTGCAGAGATAAGCCTTGGGATTGATGATGAAGCCCAGCCCGCTCAGCCGCCTGGCGGAGAGGGTGGTCCTGGGGCTGCCTCCTGGGACTCCTGGGAAGTGCAGGAGTCAGAATCCACTAGCGGTCAGGGTCTGTCAGGCAGCCAAGGAGCTTCTGCTTTGTCCGCTTCTGGCTGTGTCCTCCAACCGGCCATCTCCATCCCTGACCCGGGGCAGCAGGGTAGCTATATGGTGACAGAGACTTACTCAACGTCTGGGTCCCTTGTGCAGCCCTCCACTGCAGTCTTTGATCCACTTCTCATGCAAAATGTAACAGTGACAGAAAGAGTGATCTGTCCCATTTCCAGTGCTCCTGGCACCCCATCTGCTCCAGCAGAGCTACAAGGGTCACGTAATATGGCCTGTACAGAAGATCCTTGTTCCCATCTGATATGACTGGAATGAACTGAAATAACATACTGGCCAAATATGGATATTTGGACCAAATTATTCAAAACAGCATAGCAGAGCTCACAGTATTGGTCTAATTTGGCATTTATTTGCTACTCTGATAAACTGACCATGATTAGTTCAAATTTTTCAATTCACACCCCAAAACTAGATATGTTGTCACTGCTACTCCTCAAATAATAATCAAGTGGTAGTAAATTTTAATGTTTCTTGAAAAATCTTAAGCTCAGATTCAGTGGGAAAATTTCCCAACAGTATTTAGACTTTTATTTTTGCAGTGCCAAAGAAAAGTGTTTATCACTTTAAAATGTGAGGGTTTTAGTGGATTAAACCCTTAGAGTCAAGTGCCCCACTTCTTGTCCCTGCCCCTTTTCTTACACCCTTAATAATGACACGAGAGTTATAGGTCTTCGCTAAAGCATCATGAGCTGCTTGGAAAAAAGGAAATGCTCCCGCTGCACTTTTCCCATCTTCCTGGTGCAGGGAGACCCTAGCACATCCTGTTCAAGCTAAGGGCTGTTGGCTCATGCATCAAACTTGCTGTATGTATATTCTATATACTCCCACAGTAAGACAATTTTAAAATAGAAGTATCATAGGACATTTAGGGAAGTTTAGTATGGTGTAAATAATGAGTGTTTTTTAATCACTTTGAAAAGATTTATGCAAAGAAAATTTTCATACTGAGCTCCCTCCTGCATGCTTCTCAATAACAAACCTGTGTGAATGGTCTTTGAAAATTAGTCTTTATTTTTTAAATATCAATGGGTAGATGTAACATACATTTGACATATAGTGATGTTTGTTGTGTTAACAATGTCTGCGCACTTTGTGGAAATACAAACCATGACTTTTCTCAAAAGCAAAAGAGACCTCTGCCTAGAATAACACATGGTGAGATGTATGAATATGTATTATAAGCAGCATTTCAGGTCAAAAAGGGATATGGGAGGGGATTTTCAGTAGCCTCTGTTAGTTATTAAGCCTCACTCTTTTTAAATTAGACAGCTATGGAAATTTAATTCTTGAGCATAACAATGTAAGGTCAGCAAAGATGTGGAATCTGTCACTTCATGTGTGTTACTGCAGTCACAATGCAGTTCTTCCAATCACTTCCGGCCATTCAAGATCTTTACTTAGCCTTTGGCCCACAGAGAGTCCCACCTCATTACTGACATTATTATCTTAGCGGAGTCTTTACAAGGTCATCATCTAGCTCTATTACCTCTAACTGTACAGAAAATACTCCTTTCTGATTTTTTCCATAGTCGAATTCCATATGTGTTTTTCCAGATGGAATGCAAAGTAATAAAGTGTTTGTGTTTAACCCAGAGGGGTGCAGTCCTAAGGGTACCTGGGGGCGTGAGACCCCCTAAATGTACCTACATTTAGCATCCTTCCCCCTTCCTGGCACCATGGCTACCTGGATGACACATGCTAGGCCAGCCCCACAGGCACAGGCCGCCTGTTCTTCCAAGCCAAGGGGGGCCATTAGGGCCAGCAGTGTGCCCATGCCAAGTGAGGAGCAGCCTGGCAGCCCCTGCGGAGGTGGCCTTGCTCTCCCCACCGGAGCCTCTCCTCACCAGAGCTCACATGGGGGTCTGGGGCACACACTTGATATGTGCCTTTGTTGATACAGGAAAATTAAGTTAGTACCATAATAACCCTTATTCTAAGTTCAAAAGTGTTTTCAGGATTCTTTAAGTATTTTAACATTGCCTCTTAAAGCCCTATATATCCTGAAATGAGAATTTTGCAGCATGTCAAACTGCACAGGAAACCATGCCGTCATAGGCTTTGTAAGGGAAAAACCCACAGTAAGTGTGTTTTAAGATAAAAATAGATCAATCTGTCTAGGAGGATCTAAAATTGATTTGCCGTTTAAAATTAAACTCAAAGCAAAAATGTATCTATATTTTTTCACCAAAAATAAAAATTGTTTTAAGCAGGAAATCTGTCTAAAATCTGTATTTTTACTTGATGTAATATAAATTTTAAGCAGTATGTATTAGAATTTTAACAGTGTCACACTGTTAAAATAAAAGCAGAAACAAATTTATGAGTACTTGAACCATTTAAAAAGGGACTTACAAATGAATTTTTATGAATATCTGACATTTACTTTCTAACTGACATCTCTTCTGCATCGTGATAGGCAGGAAAGAGGTAAGTAGGGACTCAGAATCTCTTCTTTGGGTGGAAATAGTGCTGGGTGAAGTGCTGAACGAGGTCAGGGCACACTTTTATTAGCTGGATTCTCTAACTCGTTTATAATTTATTTGGTCATTGAGAATAGTCTCTCAGGCAAAAATGCTGACATTTGAGGATGACTTAGAAAGAAAAGTTTCTGCCTAACGCGATGGAAAATATACGATGGCTCTGGCGACAGCCGTCCGGCCCAGCGGTGGGCTTGTCTCCCAGTAAATGGCTGTCATTTTTATGTCTTCCTTTAAAGTGACACCTCACAAAGAGCCCCTCGGAACTCGGGACCTTCTCTGGCTTTTTCCTCATCCTCAGTGTGGGCAGTTGGACTTGGACCTGGGCTTTAGGGAGCAGAAACTGGATGAAAATGGACATGGAGCTCAGGACAGTGGATGGCTTAACTCATATGCTTCCAAATCAATTCCAAGAAAATGAAAGGCATATAGGTAAGTCCCAAAAATATCACTAGTTCCTCCTATTAACAGAAAGTTCAAGGAATCCAAACATCAAAACCAATTTATTTAAACTTTCGTAAATCAAGTAAGAGTGCAGAAGGAACACATTCCACTGACCAGCCTCCGGGTGTCCAACTGCTGAGAAGCCAGTGAAAGTCGAGGATCTTCCCACCTTGCTGGCCACTCAGCATTTTCTGGCTCCTTCCCTGGGTCTACAGGAGTGATCCTGAATCAGAGATGATATGACTGCCCATTTCTTCAACAACAGAGACTGAGAAGGTTTTTACGGAAGGATGATAAATGATGAAAGAAGCTAATCATTGAAATTCCAAGTGCCAGAAAGGACACGTTTTCCACGGCGAATCTGAGCTTCCCTGGGCTGTGCCTGATCCAGAGGACACTGGGGCCTCCTCCGCATCAAGGCAGCGGCCCTCAGGTGGGTGCCCTGACTTTCTTTTTCTTTATACATTGACTTATTTTTTCCTTACAAACATAAAACTAAAAAATCTAATCACAATGTAGATGTAGCTACAACTCAAGAGAGTGATGGTTGAAAAGAAAAAGTGTGAATGGATCCAGGTACCAAGGCAAGAAGCAAGGAGACACCGACAACGGCCACCAGGTGGTCCAGAGTCATGTATGCTGGCTTAATTCTCACGCTGACTCTGAGATTACAGGCATGAAAACAGAGGCTCAGAGAGGCAAAGCCACTTCCCCAAGGTCACACAGCCAAGTGACACAGATGTAACAATTTATCTATCCAGCAATAATGACAATTACTACTCTCTCAGAATAACCTTTTTAGCTCTAAGACTTGAGTAGAACATGAAAACAGAAGGAATACAAACAAAAAAATTATTGTAAAAGATTGGATATAGTTCTGAAGATTAAAGAAACCGTACACTGTAGGCAAATACATATACAGGAGAGAGAGAGAGAGAGAGAGACAGTGGGGCACGAACAGAAGGATTTGTAGTCCTCTTATATTTAAGAGAGAGAGAGAGAGAATGAATGCAAATATACGTGATTTGCTGCGATTTTGAAGTAGATGTGAGATAAATTTTCAGGGTACAATACCACTTCTCCCCCACATTTAATAATGGAAAGAGCTATCTAGGGTCATGGAATCTCTTTCAGTAAACTCCTTAAGAATTCCTTTGATAGCACACTATTTAGAAGAGGTTATGTGTCTAGATATAAAATGCTTGCATGTTTTTTATTTGATATTTGTATATATGGTCAAATGACTACCACAATAAGTCTAGTTAACATCTGTCACCATACATAGTTACAAAAAATTGTTTTTCTTATTGGGAGGATTTTTAAGATCTATGCTCTTAGCAACTTTAAAATACGCAACTCAATACAATGAACTATAGTGACCATGCTGTACATTGCATCCTGAGGACTTATTTATTTTATAACTGGAAAGTCTGTACTTTTAACACCCTTCACCTATTTCACCTGCCCATCACCCCCCAGCCTCTGGCAGCCACTGATTTGTTCTCTGTACCTCTGAGCTTGGCTTTTCTTCTGTTTTAAGTGGTGACTTTAAATCAGTCCTCCTACCTCAATGTTCCCATCATTTGTGGGAAACAACAGATTTTTAACAACCAAACAACTAATTTACTCCTTAAAGTCATTTCCATTTCTACCTATATTACCGTGAATTACATGGGACCCTTGCATTTTTAATTTTATACCTTGGAACATCTCTGATGTTTTCCATATGCTGAACTTGTCCTTATTAAATTAGCAAACAGTAACTTTTGTGTGAAAACAGAACATCAAATTATGATAATATAAGCAAAACATTGATATTGAAAGAAAAGTCTTCATTTCTTCAGAAAGCAGAGGAAGCATTTATGTTCTTTCAGAACCAAGAGTGGATAGCAAAGAACCTTTTTAGTTATAAAGTGGTACAGAATCAGATCATCTTGCATTTATTTAAATGGCATAATGACAAGGTTTCCACTCCTGCGAGGAGGCATGTCGCTAAGCCAAACACAAGTATTTGGACACCAGCTGTGAGCCTGACTGCAGTCATGTCTTCCCATGTCCACCTGAGTTGTACTGATAATGAGATTTATATGATCCTAACCAGAAGGTAACACACACACACACACACACACACACACACACACACACACACACACACACAATTTACATAACCACATGAGTGCACACACATGCATACGTATTTCCCTCTGGCAACCACACATTTTTGCAAAGCTGAAGAATGTCTTTCCATCATAAGACCCACAGACCAGACACTAATGCCTGGAGGGTGTTCCAGATACAAACTTTCTGCATGCAGGAACTCTGCTCTCCAGATTTATATTAAAAGGAAAAGAATCACTTAGATTTTCTGCCTTTCTTTTACCTAAGAAACAATGAAAACGCTTTGTTTGAGCAAACTTTTAATTATTCTGATTGAGGACTGACATACACAACTTCTAATTAGTAAAAGAAAAAAATCTGTAATATGAAACAGAGGTATTAGTCAAAGGGTACAAGTCTGGGTCACACAAAATGAGAAAGTCCCAGAGACGCACTGTCCAGCAGAGAGCCTAGAATCAGCAATACTGTGTTGTATTTTTGCTAAGAGGGTAAAGCTTATGTTAAGTGCTCTTGTCACAAAAAAAAAAAAAAAACAAGAATAGTAAACAAAGAGAGTAGGAGGACACTTGGTAGGTGAGGGATGGGTTTATCATATAGATTGTGGTGATGGTTTCACGAGGGTATACTTATCTCCAAACTCATAAAGTTGTATGCATTAATTATGCAAAATTTTTGAAGATCACAAACTTTTTTCATGTGTAACAAGCCCTTCACCTAATAATAAGTTCTGACAACATCCTTTTCACTGCATCTTCCCTCTTCCTTTCAGCTGCTATAAATTGCTGTGGATTTCTCCTCTGAAGGGAAATCAGGCTGCTCACAGCCGACTCTAAGTCATTCTTTAACATGCCGCCCTTTCTGTGCACACCTTCCTGGGCCATGGGCTGTCCCCTCCTGGGTGGGGCTCCGGCTGCCTCTCCCCAAGGCAAACCAACAGCAAAGGCAGGCACCACTGACACAGCAGGAGACCCTCCACTCTGTATGTTGTTTTAATGATTAGCAAAAGATAAAATGTGTTTATTCTGTTTCATCTCTTAATTGTGTGTTTTAACTTAATGGCTAAGAGTTCACGCTTCAGATACAAGCTACTTCAGTTCAAATCCCAGCTTCACCTCTAATTAGATGCATGTCTTTGAACAAGTCACTTAACCTCACTGCACCTCTCTGGACTACTATTATGCAGATAATAACAGTCTCTGCCTCATGAGGCTTCTGTAAAAAAGGTACAAGGATACACTTAGGACATAGTAAGTGCTCATGATGATATGCTATTCTTATTGTTGTTATTGTTATAATTTAACTCTTCAAAATGAACCCAACTCAAAATCAGGAATACTTATATACAAACTACTGAGGCCACACAAACTCAAAACATCTGTATTATCTGATCCAGTCTCATTTTACAGGATGCTCAAACACACTAAAAAGTCACTGTTGACCAAAGGTAGTTAGAAATCGACTAGGTTGATTCTCCTTCTACTCCAAAAGGCCACCTTGATATTTCTTTCCACCCTTCTTTTGCCTTAGCCACAGGGCTCATCCTGGCTAGTCTAACTGCACTGGAAATTCCTCTGAATATGCAAGAAAACAGAGATTAATGCATTCGGATCAAATTATCATCTTGTGTAGCCAAACTGCTGAGAATCACCAGATGGCTGCTATTTTTCAGGGGCGCTTCCTTAGAAAAGGACAAAGTGGGAGGCTTTTTTCCCTAAAAGTTGTAATTACGTAATTTTCCCCAAGTAGAATAGAGAGCCAAGTAGCTTTGGAAGAAAAGAAAATAGTTACTTTAAAACAAGCATGAAAGGAATAATGCTAGTGACCCAGCCTCCAGTGACATGCTAACGTATGTCAGGTAATACCAGTAGAATAGCAATTTCTGCACTTAAAAAAGGAGCACACTTCACATTCAGCTTCCATATGATCTGTGTTGCCAAGCTGCTAGCCACGTGAAAAAGAGTTTTATTAGCAAAAGGAAGCCGATGCAACACAAAATGGAAGAACCTGAAATTTGTCTTTAACTTTGCATGTTTTTAATTTGTTTCTAGAATATTTTCAAAATCACTACCTCCTCCTTTCTTCAAAAACCTACCAAAACTAGCTAAATGTTTTAATTGCTCGATAAACTAATTCACAGTAAAGTACAAATCACAGAAAGCGCCATGTTACCCTCCTTGGAGTACACATATCGTTAGTACTTAGAATATCTGTTGACTCAGGATTAAGGTTTCACATTCTGACCAACTGACCTAATGTATCTAAGTCTCTAAAAAATAAAAGTAAAGAAGATGTTCTATGGCAGTTTCATTATCTTGTTATTCCTGAAAGCCTAGAAGTCATGATCTTCCTCCGATTTTTTTCTTTTTATTGGTTTTGATGGCTTATTCTTATTTCTGAAGTGAAAATCCAAGGCATAAAGACCAACCAGCCATACTTGAGATTCCACTTATTAAAAATCCCCACGTGTAGCTGACTCTCCCACAGCGCCCAACAGCGGGGACTCAGCACAGTACTTCCCTAACCATCAGCTGACCTCCACAGGAGCTCTACGTGGCGCTCACTTAACTAAACACTAAGACGTCCCTGCTGTGCTCACCAAGTGTCCTGATTACTTTAGATGGATGTTCTAATCCTGAAGCTAAGAAAGAAGCACAATGATACTCTCTCTTCCTGTTTCATACACAAAGGAAAATCAGTCACAAGAAGTCTTTGTTGACTAACTTACCTTTATTATAGCTGATTCTGCATGAAATGGGTGTGCCTCTCTCCACAGGTATGACATCACTCAGATACTATTTCAGTAGAAGTTAAGAGAGGTCCACCTGGGGAAAAAAAGTTACAGTAAATTAACAGACAATTGTCTAGTAAAATAAGAGGTCTGCTGTCAAAGCATACAGAAATGTTCATAATGAAAAATAGGATTTAAAAAAATCTTTAGCCACAGATGTCCTCAGATAAGCTGGGAAGGGTGACTGTGACTGTTAAAACTAAATTACCAAGAGCAATTTTTTCCCATTGCTTGCTTTGTATCCAAGTTTTGCTTAACCCATTTGTTTAATGTTTGAACATACGTCTGTCTAATAAAATCTCTACTTTAAGTGGGAACTAGAGGAAGTGATGAAACTCAAGGTCCACTGCACAAAAACAAAAAACATACAAAGAAAACAGGTTGAAAAATCAGTGTTTTACTGAAATGCCCAGACACTAGAGGTATTTTGATTCTCTTCTCTTATTATATCTAACAGACTGCTTCAATTCTCCAATTCCCTGAGTGTGTATAGATGTAACTTAGTTTAACTGAATTATTATTTATCATATTAAAAGATTTTCAATCACTCTTGTTACAGAAGTATGGTTACCACAAAGAGTTTTCCATTCATAATGCCTAATGTGGGATTCAAGAGTAACTATGTTGTATCTTTTAGACAGACTGCTCAAGAAAGTGTGTCCTCCAAATATTTTTTCTGCAAGACACTTGTGACAGACAACAATGACAAGCTCAAACCCATGACCAGCTCTGAGACTCCAGCTGAAATCAACCTTCTCTCTCACCACAGTGGGATGTCAAAATGCAAGTAACATCAATATTGAATAACTTTAAATGTGCTTTAATCATTTTAACAAGTAAATCATTTACAATTTTCAGAAGTTGATTACTAACAAATTACTACATCAACTGGTATGGTACAGAAATACAAACCACAACCGCCAAGATTTTCAAAGTAAATTAAAATGAGTAATTTCTTTCAATCCTTGTTTCTTCTTCAAAATGGAGATTGTTATTTGAGATTCTGCTTCTTTCTACCAAAGTATTTATAATTATCATTCTGAATCATCTTTAAAAGATCTTTAAAGCCAGCGTTCTACTCCAGGTTTGCTGTCCAAAGATTTCGCATGGCTTCTAAGTCACCTTTTTGTTACACATTAAGAATATCACTTGTCTACATGCGGATGGATGAAATCACCAAGAACCTGGTACCCTTTTTTGTCTTCCGAGGGTTTTCCCTGCATATCTCCCTCGGCTCATAGGTCACACTGGGTGAGTGTGGCGGCTTCCAACACCCTCCGTAAACACTCCTCCGTCTGCCCATAAACCTTGCAGGTCCTGTCATGCAGCCCATGGACTCCAGCCCAGGGCTGCTATTAGCAAACACTCTTCCTCTCTTCCCCAGCCACTGCTCTTTCCCTTATCTTTCGAAGAATTCCCATAAACAATTCTTCAGGCCAAACCAAAGCCAAAGATTTATCCTGAAATTTCTTTCAGCAGATGTAGTTAGGCAGATAAGGCAACATTCCCAAGTGTCACCTCCTGATGAATGCTCACTTTGTTCACTTCCGGAGGGAATGGGATTTTCCATATTGTTTGTGGTTTTACACTTTGCTCCTCCTGTAGGGCAGGGAGTCTTAAAGGAGAGAAAGAACACAGCAATATTCTCCACCGGCCTCTGAACTCCAACTTAACACTCTTCAGACAGCAGCCTGGTCCTTGATAAGATTGTGAGGTGCAGGGATTTAGTCTGTAGGGACACAGGCCTCCCAGCCCACCCCCACCTCAGTTTGGGAAAATGTACTCACATCCTTCCAGGAATATAAGGGTCTCTTGCTCTTCTCTCCTTTACCTCATTACACACACACACACACACACACACACACACACACCCTACCCTGCAAAATAACCTTGCAATGTATTCACTTGTTCATTCATTCACACATTCAATTAATATTCAGGGAAGACTTGCAGCACGCCAGGCACTGTTTTAGGCGCTGGGTGCACAGCAGTTCTCAGAAAAAAGCCCAGGCCCGGTGACATTTACATTCCAGGGACTGGCTGCAGATGATACCTAGGTAAATGCACAGTCTCTCCAGGTGTGATGTGTCAAGAAAAATGAAGAAGGGAAATATGGGCAGCTTGGGGGTGGGAGTAATTACAATTTTTAAATGGGTGGTCAAAGAAGACCTCACTGATAAAGGAATATTTGAGGGGGGAAAAGGGAAGAATGAGGGAGTAAACTTGTACACGTCTTGGGCAGAACCTTCCAGGGAAGAGGAAAAGAGAGTACAAGGCTGAGGTGGGGCTCGCCACACACTGCAGTATCAGGCCACCATGCAAATAACTGATAAGCGATTACCACACCACCCTCCCAGGAAGAGGCGTGGAGCAGCCAAGGGGCCCTCGGCTGAGGATCTCAGACCAGAGCCAGTGGGGGCGGGGCATTCTGACGCGGCACCAGGGCCAGCTGGCGTCTCTGACCAACTGCTGCCTTACACGCTGTCAGTGGCGTTATGGCGGCCTTATCACCTTTTAGCTAACATGACTTACCTCGAAAAAATCTCCTCACTTGCCGTCAGCACTCTAGTAGACCCCAAAATGGACAATTCTGTTTTTTCTGCTAAGTCAAACCCTATTTTGCAACTGTGGTGTCCTCCCCAACCGTGGCTGCCCCCGGCCCCTAAACAGAGTGGGAGATGGCATCTCTGTTTGGGTCCCAGCACGTGCACCCCCTCCTCCAGCACTCGGGCGTTGACTCACAAGGAGGGGCCCGGGCGTTGACTCACAAGGAGGGGCCCGCAGGGAAGGCTCGGGCAGGCGCTGCGGCCCCAGGGACTCCCGCACTCTCCCGGGGTGTCGCATCTGCAGCCGTCGTGGGTCCCCAGGGCTGGCTCCTGCTGCCCCCGAAGTGCAAACAGTTCCTGAAGCAGTGCTGGCTTCTGCGTGCGAGGCCGCAGGGCTTGCAGTCCGCCAGGCTTTGATTACTACCCTGTAGGTTCTCGCTCAGAAGGGCAGAGAAGCCCTTCCCACTCTTTACCAGAGGCCTCCCTGCCCGAGTGTGCCAATTCTCCTCTCACTGCGGAAGCTGCAGGTGGCTCTCAGCCTAACTGGAGAGTCCGCGGGCATCGGAGCATCCTGACGCTCAGTGTCTGCAGTGTCACTTGTGCCTTGGCATCTGTGGAAAAGGACCATGGCCCCTTCTCCAGAATTATGTGAAAGAACAATCCTCTCCCATTTCCCTACCCCCAGTGTCACACAAGCTCTTCTCAACTGGTCCCTGAACAATTCTACTTGCTCCCTGTCCATCCCCTCCAGCCACACTCAACTCCACATCTGTCGGGACACTTGCCTCTCTTAACTATAGCCAAGCCACTCTGCAACCCTGACTCACACCCACCACCTGCCACCCTCCTGCTCCCAGGCTGCATGCAATTAGGGAAAATCCATATGCACAAGCCCACATGTTCACATGTGCATGCATTAAATGTGCACTATGCATGATATGCACTCACAATCTCACAACATTTTCTGTCCAGATTCACCATTAACTCATCCACAGCCCGTATTCCAAACACCTTCCCTGCAATTCCACTTTTTCCTTATTATTAGTCCTTTTCAGTACCAATAAATAAATCTCTATCCATCATGACACACATGCTGCATCAGAGGGCTGGGCACCCTGTGAATAAGTCGTGGCCTCTGCATTAACATACTAATAGCCTTGAGAAAGAAGAATGGGTGGGGCAGCAAACATGGATGAGATCACCAGAAGCACAGCGTGACAGCGGCTCTGTGGGCTGAGCCATTCCAAACTGCACTACACTACAGAGAACGAGCGGAAAGGCAGGTGTCTGCACGTGGGGCACATGGGGAAGGGAGCGAGGACGACGACTCCCGGCTGAGGGGGCCAGGCTGACAGGGCAGCTGAACCAGGCACAGAGGAGGGAGCTTGCACGGGACAGGTGGAGAGGGACAGGGAATCCTTTCTGTTAGTAGTTAGCTTGATATCCCTACAAAATTATTATGGTAGTTTGAGGTCCCCCATGAAATCCTCAGATGGTAATGTCCCACATTTACAGCCAAGAAGGAAAAGCTCTCGCTCAGGTTTGCACACGAGAGCGGCTGCTATGTGCTTAGTAAAGGAAAGAACTCTAAAGGCACAGCATTTAACAGGCAGGCAGAGAATAAGAAACGGACTGAGAAAAAACAGCAAGAGGAAATGAGGTGACTCTGCCTCCTGCGTGCCCTGCAGTTGTGTTCTCCTTATTCCCAACTGCTTGCTGGACTTTTCCATTGGCTGCTGCTATAATATCTCAAATTCAATTTTCATTTTAAAAGAAATTTTACTTCTGATTCCCTGTTTGTGTGAATGTGATGAAAAGAACACTCTTCACAGAAATCTGATGCCCTGACTCTTTACCAGTTCCTCAGTCCTGGCAGGTTCAACTGATTTAACTCCCTAACAATTCCTCCTTTAAGAGTCAGATCACCACCTGTCCCCATGCACCACCACCCACTACCACCACCAAAAGAAGCCTTCTCTGATCTCATGGTCCTAAATGTGAATCAGGGCTCTCTTTCCTATATTTGCATCATGCCCTGTATATAGTTTTACCATTGCATTTATAAGTTTATAAGTTTATAATATGTAAGTATATTATTTCCCAAGTATCTATTTTTGTTTCTTTGGATGAAACAAAATATTTATCTTTGCAGCCCCAATAAAATGCAAATTAAGTGTTTGTTGAATGAGGATTAACTAAACGTTGACTAGGTGAAGGAGTAATTGAGAGGACCTAACCTGGAAAACCGATTTCTCCTTTTATTGCCCTTTTCCCGTTACCTAGAGGTATTTCATAGTTTTTTTTGTACCCACTTAACTTTTATTAATGAAAGTTCTGTGACAAGCCTTCTGACCACAATGACCAGTTTTATGTTCTAACAGCCACCCATTTCTACGATTTGCTTCTAAGACATTTGACAGGAGTATAGCAACCAGATTTAACTCTCATCTCTTTGACATTATTCTAATACATACACTCCTTGGGATTTTCCATGGAGTCAAGTGGTCAACCATCTGGCAAACCATTAGCCAAGAACTGTCCATTTATAAAGTGATCTTTAATGCTGGAAAGTGTTAGGATTCAGGAGGCAATGAGAGTAGAAAAGAGACACATTAATTCTTGTTGGTCTTTGTGAAATTGTTTTTTATACAGATATTTCATGGTTTAGATACTATTAAGAGATGATTCTAAGAGCAATCACTTTAAATTAGTCTCACCTGTGTGTATGTGTGAAGCCAAGTATTCTGGGAAATGTTAACTAAGATATTTTGACACCACCTATACATTAAAGCTGATATTTGCACTTCAAGGAGTATAATTTGAACTGATGCATTATAACTATGTATCTTAAGAAAAGTTCATTAACTGTAATGTTCAACAAATTTAGAGGGGAAAACCTATATGTTAAATCTTTCACATCTTGCTAACATTTCAATTATTTTAAAGTAATCAGTACTTCACTGGTAATAAGTTTATTGTCATTTGTTCTTGCTCACAGAGACTTATGAACTAGATTTATTCCCATGCTAGCCCAAAGAACTCAGGAGCTAGAGAAGTCCCTGCAACTCACTGAATTTCCAAAGAGGAACTAAATTCAAGAATGACACACTATAGCATTGGACTGCGCATGTACTGACCCCTCTTAAAGCCTTGGAATAATATCTTTTCTAGGAATAGCAACCTGAAACTGACTTTGACAGCCTCGGGGGAAGCCACATAATCCAACAGAAAAAAAATTTGCATTAGCTAATTCTCATTCTGTAAGCTACAATTGTCTTCGTTACTAAACAGAAACCAAACCCTTGATAAATGATGCATAAATATTGCCTATAGGACTCAGTTACTAGTTTTCGGCATGACATATATAGTTTCCAGGGAGGATATGTGAAAATGTTTTGATAAAGCCTGCCTTGCCTAACTGGGAGTGTTTTCAGCATGATAAGGAATGAAAATTCTCAACAAGAGGAGTGTGCTACCACCCACGTCCAGATTCAGAGAAATGAGCAGAAAGTAGAAGACTGCTTTCCTCCTGATTCAACTCCCTGACAATGTTACTGTCTCCCATGGGACTCAGCGCGGCTCTAGGCGCTGGAAGCAGAATGGTAAACTACGTACTCTTCCTGGATTCGAAGCCCTCTGTAACACTGAGAAAGGCCCCTCAGCAGGGAAGCCCCCTAAGCAAAGAAGGTGCTTCTCTCCGCTCCCGGGGGGGGGCGGTCCTTGGCCGCCCTGGGCGGGAGGAAAGACGAGGGAGGGGCTGGCAGTTGTGATGGATCTGGACGCCTGGCAGGGTCAGAGCTGGGGCGGGAAGGGCAGGAGCCGCGGGGGGCGAGGCAGGCATGTTAGGCCACAGAACTCCAGGATTTTGTTCAGACTTAATGCCAAACTTCTCTTTCTCGTAGCAAATCAACAACCCTTTATACTTTCATAGGCTTTTCCACTACTCCAACATCAATAGTTAACCCTTCTTACAAGTTACCTGATCTGGTGCTAGCGTCTCAGCTTTACAAGACGGGTCTGACTGCGCATTCACACCCGCCCCGGTAATTGTAACACTACCCCTTGCTCGACCTGCAGGCCGCTGTACACGGATTTTCTGATTTATCCTTCACGGCAGCTCGTGTGGGGGGCGCTGTCCGGGCCGCGGGACCGCGCTGGGCCCTGGGGCGCGGCTGGTAACCCCCGGGAGGGGCTCGCGCGCCGCGGTGGGGGTCCCCTACCTACCTCCCTCCCTCCCTCTCTCCCTCCCTCTCCTCCCCTCCCCCGACGCCTTCCGCCTGGGCCGCGCGCGGGGCGGGGCCGCGGGCAGGTGCGCGGGGCGGGAGCCCGGGGACGGCGCCCTGCGCGGGGCCCTCCCTCCGCTGGGCCTGCGGCGGGAGAGCCGGGCGCGCGCGGGCCGCGGGGAGCCGGCGGCTATGGCGCGGGGCTCGCGGGGCGCCGCGGGGCGGCCGCTGCTGCTGCTGCTGCTACTGCTGCTGCTGGTGAGTGCGGCCGGGATTGGCGGGCAGCCCTCTGGGCACCGGGGGGCGCCGGGGGTCTCCGCAGGCCCTGGCTCCGGGCCCTGCGGCCGGCAGTGCGGCGGGACTGCGGCGGGAGCCCGGACCCTGGCAGGCGGGCGCTGGGGGAGCCGCGTCCTCGGGGGGCGCGGAGATTGGGAGTCTCCTCGCCCCCAGGGGCGCTAGTTCGCCGCGGGCCGCCTTGGGGTCCCGTCCCCGCCCGGGACCGGGGAGTCCGGGGGACGCCTGCATGCCCAGGCTGCAAAAAGAGCGTAGAAATGTGTTTACACACTAAGTTTTTGTTGTTCTTGTTAAAGCCACGTTAGTGTTAACAGCACCCGCATCAAGATTCTTTTAAGGTTCACAAACTTGGTGCTTTGAAACAATTTCCTGGTATTAAGGAGAATAAACATGTAATAGTTTTGAGACTGTTTGCCTTTTAAAAGGCAACAGAAAACTGAAGTGCGGAGCCACAAATGGGGTTTTTCAGGTTATTAAAGAAAAAGGCTGCCACCGCTGGAAAGGAATGCTGTCTCTACACTTTGGGGGCTTGGTTTCTGTGCTTAGACCAGATTTTAAATACATTTGCTTTCTGTTTGTTAAGAGTTGCCATAAGTAAGAAATGTATCTGGCTCATAGGGCTTTGCTAAATGGGGTTTGATAAAGTGCCTTTTTCCTGGGGATATAGGTATGGGTTCACCTTACAGAGAGTTAACAAACATGTCTTCAAACAGATTAGAGACAAAGTCATACGCAGTTTTCTTATATAATGGTTAAAAGAAAAACTACAAGTTCATGCTGTTGTAAAAGTTCTACCTTCCAAAAATTACCTTCTCTCAACCGCAGAATTGCAATGGGGTGAGGATATATGTACACACACACACACACAGATCTATATATTTCCTGATTTGTGTGTATTGGGAAAAAATGACTAATCCTATCTAAGAATTTCAGAGAAATCTCACTCGCAAAATCACAATAATTAGGATCTCCAGGTCTTTGGCATTAGTTCATTTTCATGCTCTTTTGATCCATTTCATTTTGTCCAAGTCATTGAGGTAATTTTCAGTTTAAGTTCATTTTGTTAATAAAACTTTTCTAAGATAATTTTGGTTTCCTTTTTGGCCTTCAGAATAACACAGCAGCTAATTCCCTCGTCGTGATAGCGTACTGGCTATGGAGAATACCAACTAACATCGCAAATGGCTTGTTTTGAGGGTTAAATGCTAAATCCTTTCCATGTAGGAAAAGAAATTACCTTTATCCTCAAATGGTATAACAAGCAGGCCAGTTCAAGTACATTTATAGAGAAATAGGTAAAATAATTTGGGCTTATTTTTTACTTTGGCAATTTAATATTTTTAATTTACTGGACAGTAATTGCCTGCTCCTTTAAAAAGCGATTATAATTAATTGGAACCAAGTCTCAGACTCTTCTTTTTATTTTCTATTATGCTTTTTGTGATATAAATTTGAGTATGTTTATTCTTGGTCAGAGAACAGCGGGCAGTTGAGCATTGTGTTCCTACTGTGTTTGAAGTTAAAAATACAGTAAATCCTTGAACACCATGGGCATTAGAGCCACCAACCCCCTCACAGTCAGAAATCTGTGTATAACTTCTGACTCCCCAAAAACATAACTAATAGCCTGCTTACCTGAAAGCCTTACTGATAACACAGTCAGTTAACACATATTTTGTATGGTGTATGTATGATATACTGTATTCTTATAATAAACTAGAGAAAAGAAAATGTTTTTTCAAATTGTTGCAAATCTCCAAAAATATTTTCCAACTTATTTATTGGAAAAAACTGCACATGAGTAGATGCATGCAGTTCAAACCCATGGGTTCAAGGTCTGCTATATAGTCTCTGGTAAAGAATGGAAAACAACTCATCGGTCAGAAGTAGTCTTGAGGAAACAGGTGTTTTATAGAAGGGAATATAAATTGTAGTCTGCATGAATCAGAGTGCAGTTTCAGATAACAGAACCCACCTTAGCTGGTTGAATCAAGAAGGGATTCATTTCAGGGCATAAACTGACTGTATAGTAGAGGGAAGGATTGAGGTGTCAGACTCTGCAGTGAGTTGTCATTAGTGCCTTCAGGGCTACACAACAGAACACAAGCCCCTAGGGAACTGCTGCCTCTCCTGTAGCAGGAACTCACTGCCACTCCCATGATGTGGAAACTGCCTTGTCTTAATGCTCTTCTTGCTGCCAGCTCCAGAGCCATGTGGCATTGAGAACTGGATTTAGCCACAAGCCAGTCTGTGTGAAACCTATCAGAATAATCCATTATCATGCCCAGGGATTTGGAAACATGCTTTCCCATTTGTTTTTGTTTCTACAAATAAACAGGTAATAAGAAATGGGCAACTCTTAATAGATGTTTCTTCAATTATCAACATGGGGAAAGAATCTTATAAAAAGACATGGATATTTGGTTGGTCTAAATACTCCCTGAACATCAGAATTACCTGATGAGTTAAATTAAAATCCCCAAGGGTGAGGTTGAGAAATATGTATTAAAAACTTTGCAAAACTGTTTATTTATCAAAGAAGCATACTATTTATGTAGAAAAAAATTGCACATTAAATAGGGATTAGTGTTTTTTAAACTGCCAAATTGTAGTAAAAATCTGCAACCTTAATTAATATCCTGAATGCAATTTAGATCAATCTGAGCATTTCTTAATCACGGCTTTTTTGTTTGTCTTTTAGTGTGCCACACATTTTAACAGCTGATAATACTTCTCAAACATATAGTCCATGTATGAGGAAAGATTGTTTTGTCAGTTTATTACGAAGTAACCAGGTATATACTGGTACTTTATAATACCAGATATGACGTGGTACTACTTTTGTTTATTTCAAATTATTCAAAAATATTATTGAGTCTTATCATATGTAAAACTTGGCAGCTAGGGTGAAGGAAGATGGAACACCAG